CCTCAAATATCCTCAGTTGAGGATTAACAGAAAAAATACCTAAAAAAGGAGCTCTAAACACATATTGAAGTTTGGTTAATGGTGTGCATGTTGAATTAAGGGGGAATGGGTTACTGATCTTTTGAAACTTACTTTGAAATGCATCCCCCCAAAATGAATAGTGGAATGTTTAGAAATGTGATAAAGAACAAACATAGTAAAATGTTAATTGTAGAATCTAGATAGTATACATGTTTACTATGAAATTCTTTGAACATTTTTGTATGTTTGAAAATTTTCCTAAAATGTTGAGGGGGAATGAAGATGCTGGTTTTTGCTCATTGAAGGATCTGTGTACCTCCATTTTTAATTCTAACCCACCCCTTTAATTCAAAATTAAACCACTTGGATGAATACCAAAAGGGGGGAGGGGTGTGAATGTAGCCATCTAGATAAATAGAAAAATGTGCCCACCTCATACTTTCTCTAATTACCTTTTGAAAAGCCATTACCAAGCATGGAAGCCAAGGGTGTCTTTACAAACAAGAAGAACTCTGAGAAATCCAAACCATGCAGTCCAACCAATGACCTGTCTGGGCAGATGAAAATTGGCCTCCAGAACCCTCACCAGGGAAAAGGACATGGCCTCCTGACACATAATCTTTGTCAACGGGAAGCAGGTGACCCCCCCTGCTATATACCTTATACTAAGGCCCTATCAAATGAAAATGAGTGTTCAGTTTTCAGCCAGATCCCAGGGATTTGGCCATGAACACCTCCACTTTTATCAGAATGCCAGGCTATCTCTTACATCTTGATAGAGCCCTCTTTTTTAAAGATATCTTATATGGGACCCCTGCGATACTTATGGGTGTGTGTGTGTGTGTGTGTGTGTGTGTGTGTGTGTGTGTGTTTTAGTCTTGAAGGATCAAAAGGGTAAATTGGTTCTGGTGGAATTTGAACCAAACTTTTAAAAGCTAATGATAATATATTTTTAAACAATGTTGCTTAGTTGGTGCTTGAACAGTAAACTGGAAAGTGAAGATCTAAGAGGCTTAAAGATCTCAATTCTTTTAAGGCCTCAAAGTGAACTCTGACCAGTTAATTTATCTTCATCCTTTTACTTTCTCACTTGGAAAGTGAGGAATGAAACTGACACAAAATGCCCGGTCAGTGTTTCTCAAACTGTAGTGTTTATAAGTATCATTTATGTAAGAAATTTTAGTATGTGTAAAAATAATTTAGTTTATTAAAATACACACTCTAACCGCCATACTTGAATTTTCTAAATCAGTAGAGCTGGGGCAGAGCTCAGAAATCTGCATTTTCATAAACACTCTTTGTGATACTGATGCAATTATTGGACCATGTGAGAACTGGTGTAGATGTGTTTTGATGGGTACTATGATAACTGATAAAAGCTTTTTTTAATTTAGCTTTTTCTTAGGGAAAATTTTAAATATACACTAGAGAGAATACTATAATGAACTTCCATGGATCCATCACCCAACTTCAACAATCTTGGTTTACTTCACTCATCTACTCATCTACTCCCTGTATTCCTCCTCCACAGATTATCTGTGCAAACAGATCTTAGATATACCATTTTATCCATAAATATTTTAGTAGGCAACTCTAAAATATTAAGATATAAGTACTTTTAAAAATACACCATTATTAAACCTTACATAATTTGAGAATAATTCCTTAGCATCAAATATGTTAATGTCTAGATTTCCTGAATTTTTTTTCACCGTTGATTAGTTGGAATCAGGAACCAGACATAGTCCACACGTTGCATTTGATTGATGTGTCTCTTTAATCTTTTAATCTATAGGTTTCCCCTTCCCTCTTTTTTTCCTCTTGTGATTTATTTGTTGAAGAAACCAGGTCATTTATTCTGTAGGCTTTCTCAGGCTAGATTTTCTGATTGGGTCCTTATGATGTCATTTACCATTTTTCTTTCCCTGTATTTTCTGTAAACTCCATCACTTCCATCCTGAAGTTTGATCAGATTAAAGTTCAATTTTTTTGGCAAGAATACATCATAGGTAGTGTCATATACTTCCATCAGGAGGCATGTGTCTGGTAGTTCTCTCTTTTGTCATGTTAGCAGCCATTTGTGATCATTGCTGAGATCCATTATTTTCTAGGGGAGAACCCCACATTTTAGCTTAGTAAGTAGCTCATGGAAGAATCTTCTCACTCTCATTGTGGATTTTTCATTTTCTAAGTGCGGCTTTTAAAGCTTTCTCAGTGAACCCATAGCTGCCTACTTAGACATTGTGCTTGCTACAGAAAGCAGAAAGGCTTTCTTGCTTTCACATCTTGGTCTCATTTTCACAATATAGTAATCTTTAAAATTTGTCTTAGTGTCTTCAACATTCATTTCAGTTTCTAAAACATATTGAGATGAATATCTATGATGACCACACAATTGAAGAGAAAGTTTGGGGCTCAATAATGAAACCATAGTTTCAAGTTAGTTGACCTGGTACAAGTACAAGTGAGTGAGAGCCACCAATTCTGTACCACCTTTCCATCCTGAGGGGAAGGCAATGGGTTTGTAATACCTATATTTATTGAATTTTGTCCTGAAAGCAAACATGAGGTTTCTGGATCAGGGCAGACATTTATTACTTACAGTAATAACCACATTGGTTCCTTATACCCATTTTCCCTTTCCAAGCAGTATGAAGGGATCTAGAAGAATGAGGTGGGGTATGCCAATATCACTTCAGGAACTGGGAATGAATGGGTTTCTTCCTTCATTCAACAAACCCTTACTGATTGGTGACTATATGCCAGACACTGAGCCAGCACTGGGGTAGATAATAAACACTAGAGAATGCCCAGACCCAACACATACAACCATAGACTTCTGTCTAGAGTTAGCCATCAGGTGTCATATTTATAGGTAATCAAATATACATACATCTATATATATTACATATAGTCATTCCTTGGTATCCTCCAGGAATTTCTTCCAGAACACCCATGGATACCCAAATCCTTGGGTGCTCAAGTCCCTTATATAAAATGGCATAGTATTTGCATATAACGTACTCATATCCTCACATAAGCTTTGGATCATCTCTGGATTACTTATAATAACTAGTACAATGTAAATGCTATGTACATAGTTGTTAGACTGTGTTGTTTAGGGAATAATGACGAGGAAAAAGTGCTGTACACGTTCAGTACAGATGCAACCATTGGTAGGTGTAACTACATAGTACATGTCAGCAACAACGTGACTTCCCCCCGCCCCGCAACACTGTTGACCCTTGAAGCCTTGCCATTAACATAAACAGTCAATTAACACATCTTTTGTATGTTATATGTTTTATATACTGTATTCTTACAATAAATTAAGCTGGAGAAAAGAAAATGTTATTAAGAAAATCATAAGGAAGAGAAAATACATTTTTTGTATTTATTGAAAAAAATCCACATATAGATGGACCTGCACAGTTCAAATGCATGTTGTTCAAGGGTCAACTCTATTTTCCGTCTGCAGTTTGTTGAAGCCGAGGATGCAGAACCCATGAATAGGGAGGACCGACTGTATGTAGGCACATACATTATTTTAAATTTATCTACAAATGTCATTTGTCCTAAAGTTTGCATGAAGTTTTCTCATCCCTGGCTTTTCAGACGGCAAGTTAATTAACCATACTTTATTCCCGCTGGTGTTTGCTCATGTGGATAGTCCTTTTTGCAAGAAAGTGAAATCCAAATTGTAAAAATTAGACTCTGAAAGAAGAAAATTGAGGTCCAAAGTATAAAGATTTTACCAGGCTGAAGAGGCCTAAAGAAAGACAAGGACAAACCCCCACAATGGTTTAGGTGCTGAAGTTCAGACATTGTGGAGTTGGTATTCTGAGAGGGGAGGCAAAAAGACACAATTAGACAGACATGGTGACTCCAATATGGGAAAAATGCTTTGGAGGAAATAAAGTCAAGAGGGAGTGAGAAGCAGGGAAGACCACTTTAGAGAGAGTGCTCCCAAAAGGCCTCCAATGAAGTGACATTTGAGCTGATGCCCGAAAGATGTGAATGAGCCAGTGATGTGAGGCGCTGGTGAAAGAGCAAATGCTGAGACAAGAAAGAACTTAACATGCCTGAGGAACAGAAAGGGACCCTGTGGTTGGGGAGCACTGAGTGACAGGGAGAGTGGAGTGTGAAGAGGCCAGAGAAGTAGACAGAGGCGAGACCACACAGAGCCTCGTAGACGCTGAGCAGTTAGAATTATGTTCTAAAAGTGGTTGACAAACATTGAAGAATTTTAAGCAGGAAAACTTAGTAATTATCTCACCTAGACTTTTTTTTTTCTATACATGTGCAAAATGTCTATGTATGTGTGTTTTTAATGATATCGTACTATACACGATCTGCAACTTGCTTTTTTCATTTACCAGTAACATCATTGACATCTCCAAAAGAAAGATTTGTAAAAAAATAAAAATAATAAGCTTGGTTTGCTGTGAACTACATGGCAAATAGATTTAGACATGTAAGAATTTGAAACTATGGTGGAAAATCAGTTTCTTGGGGATTGAAAAAGGAAAGACAGTGCTTGTTTTTAGTGTCAGTTACAGATATGAATTTACTTCAGTAATTTAAGAACATTAAAACCATATTCTAACTTGATTCTTGATTTTTCTCTTAAACTTATCATGATTAGTATGTTACTTTAACCATGTATTTACTGTTAAAGCAACTTTATAGGCCATTTTTAGATAGATACAGCACAGCCTGAAAAAGAAGGAAAATAGAAGAGTAAGAATCCAACAGGAAGTGCATGGTCCCACCACGACATGCCAGGAGAGGTCCCGTGAACTCCACAGAGAATGTATTCCCTTTAAAGGTACAGTTTACTGTTGTCAGTAATTATAAATGTACTTATTTGCTTTTTAAATGTTTTATTCTTACGAAAAATACACCTAAAAACCCTTGAACTATAAAAACTCTATCATCTTTTAGTTCTTGTCCATTTATTTAAGCAAAAGCATGAATAGAAAAAACAGTCTATATTACAATAAAGCAGAGAAAATATTTTCTGGCCTTAGAGTCCCCTATTGTATGGGCATCTATGGCAAACATTTTCCAAAATACCTGGTGAATGAAAATACTATAATCCACAAAAATAACCACCTCAAACTCATGAAGTGGAATTTAGCTCATTTTTAAGTCTACATTAAAAAACAAACAAACAAACAAACACTGCAGCCCAACCGGGCGTGGCTCAGCAGTTGAGCATCGACCTAGGATCCAGGCGATCGCGGTTCGATTCCCACTCAGGGCACATGCCCGGGTTGTGGGCTCAATCCCCAGTCGGGGGCAATCAGGAGGCAGCTGATCAATGACTTTCTCATCATTGATGTTTCTGTCTCTTTCCCTCTCCCTTCTTCTCTCTGAAATCAATACAGATATATTTAAAAAAACAAAACAAAACATTGCAGAGGTAGAAACTAAAGCAGGCAAGAAGGGCCCAAAGATGTATAACACAACATCGCTATCACGTTACAGGAGGGATACTCTGGACAAAACCCCTGTCTGCATTCTTAACCCATGAACCCTGGCCCCAGCTTTCAGCATTTGAAATTACCTTTCTGAATTCAAATGTTTTATATGCTTCTGGTTTTGTAATAAAGTCAAGAGCAATAGTAATGTAGTC